GAACTTTCTCCAGTTTTGGCAGACCAACTACGTTTAGCGTGCCTATACCAGTGACTTGTCCTTTTATACCGTCGCCAAAGGTAACTTCACCTTTGCTTGTGTTTACGTTACTCAGAAATTTTGCATTTCTCGTCATGTGACGTGAACACCCACTATCGAAGTACCATTTTTCTTCTTGGCATGTACTCTTAGAGTGGAAAGATACGAATGAGATATAATCTGTCTTTTTCACCCAGATTTGTCTTGTAAAGGGTTGAATGTTCTTGTGTTTGAATTTCTCGATTCTTTGATCTTTGTAGAAGTAGTAGCATTCCGGTTTGGTGTGACCCCGTAACCTGCAATAATGACATACTGGGTTATAGGATTTATAGTACGGCTTGAGTGATCTTACTGTACCAACGCGATGTGTCGTTGTGCTAGATTCTGGAATATCTCCTCGACCAGGACCTGACTCTTTGACAAACACTGTTTTATCCTTTGAGCTGTTTCCTGTGAATCCTAGACCAAATTTTGTAGATGTCTTTCTTCCAGACTCAAGGATCTCATCAAGAGTAGACGTGGTATCCATCATTTGGATTTGGCGTTTGTAGGTGTTCAGCTCCTGCTTCAGAGTCTGTACCTCTTGTTTCAGTCTTTCTTCTCGGGCCAATGCCTCTTTGAGAAGTAGATCCCTGTCAGCTATTTGAGTTTGATACACTTTCTTTGCGTTTGTTACAATCCCTATTTCACTAGTTAATCTACGATTTTCTTTTCTTAGTGCTGCCCATTTGGGATACAATTTATTAAACTCAATTTCAAAAGATGATTCACTTGACTCTAAATCTTCTGCAGAATTATACTCGCCTCCTTCTGAGTCAGCAACATCTTCATGACACGGTTTAGCAGCCATGTGTGCAGTAAAGGCAACAAAATTCCCAGAAATTTCGTCTGAGTCAGATCCTCCTGTTTCACCGTCCGAGTCATTATCACTCCAAGTAACTGCTGACATGGATTTCTTGCGTCGAAGGTAGGTGGGGCACTCTGCTTGTACATGTCCGAAGCCCTCACATTCATAGCATCTGATCCCTTTACTGGTGGATTTCTCTTTGGACTGTCCTGGACGTGAACCAGAAGACTTGAAGGTTGATGAACCGGATTTAGAACTCGCTTTAGATGATGACGCCCCCTTTTGCATATTCTTGTTTCGTGAACCTTTTGACACCTGTTTCAAAAGTTTAGAAAATTATTTAGTTAGAAATACAACTGGATCATCACCTATTTCATCTAAGTCAGGTGCACAATTATTTTCTTCAGCGGTAAATGTTACTATTTTTTGTTTTTTTGTGTGATCTGTTAAGATTTCCATCTCATAAGTTCTTAGATTCCCCATTAGTTGAGTTACAGTCTTTTTCTCCCAGTTGTCATGTTCCTGGATTGCTGTAACTTTCATCCGGAACCGAGGTGGCAGAGATCGTAGAATTTTTTTCACCAACTTTTCTTGAGTGAACGGTTCTCCGAGGACCATAGCTCGATTCGCTAGCTCTTGCACACGAGTGTGGAAGGTCACGATGTTTTCATCTTCATTCATCCGGAGCTCCTCGAAGTCTGACTGTACCAGTTTCAGTTTCGATTGTTTTACCGACGATGTGCCTTCATAGGTAGCCTCTAGTGCTTCCCATGCACCTTTAGCTGAATCATGGCCTGCAACAATAGGAAACTGACTTTCATGAATTAGCCCATAAATAATATCTAGTGCCTTATCATTGTGTCCAGCACTCGATTTCTCAGCTTGGGTCCATTCATTTTCAGGTTTCGTCACTCGAGTTTCATCCTCACTGCTACTGGCTTTGGTTGGATGTTCCCAGCCTGTTACAATGATACACCATACTGCTTCACCTTGTGCTTTGAGATGAGTACGCGTGCGCACCTTCCAATATGCATAGTTGTCACCGACTAGCTGGGGAAGAGCGTTAGTATGCTCCATTCTGTAACACTCAATAACCCGTGAGATTGAACAATTTAACAAAATCAGAAATAATAATACTAACCGCTGAAGAATTGAGATCAAGGGGCACGGAGTAGCCAGATCGTCAGACTAATAACTTAAGTCTGGACGCTCTGATACCAATTGAAAAAGCCCATGTATCTTGAAATCAATTTAACACTAAGGATTCTACTTGATTTTATATTACGAGACAATTTCGCTGTTTAATTAAATCAATTTGATCAACGTATAAATAACGAAATTGAAAGCGTAAAGAAAGTAAAGACACAGTAGAATTGTTACGCAGTTCGGAGCTCCTTCTCCTACGTCTACGGGGCAACCCACGTCTGCCCAATCCACTAGATGTTCACCACAGAGTATTACAAGAGGTAACTACAAGCGGCTCTCAGCCTTTACCACTACAACTCTTCTAAAACACCTATTCAGGACTGAACCGTGCATGCCATAACCATCTTTGGTGTATTGCTTCAGCTGTCACAGGTACTGACTTGAAGTACAGATTTAAATCACAAATAATATAATCAATATTAAAGCAATAATATAGGAAGCTTGCATATGATATCAGAATTTCAGAATTGGCAACTTCCTCTTTCGTTTTCCCTTCCTTATATACTGTACGCAACTCCCATTTCACCAAGCCTTGATTGTAGCTTCATATGTGGCTTGAATTCTTCTCAACCACTCATTCATGAAATGAGATCTTCAGACTTGCTTCTTTGTCCAATTCATTAACGATAAATCTCCACCACACATTTTAGCTTGGTCCAATAATACTAATTACACATCAATTTTAATTAACATTCCATATTAATAAAATAAACTAATAAATTAGCCAATCTAATGTGTACTATTTTGTACACTTACACATATGCATTTCTTTAATTTAGAATTATGTGTTCACAATGTCTTTATTCAAAAAAAAAAAATTATTCATTATCAATAAATTAAATAAGATAAATAATTTTATTAGTTATATTGTCTTTATTTTTCTTCAATATAAAAATTCTTTATATTCAAATTTATTAATTGATTATATTCGCTACATTGTCCTTACAATGTCTTTATTCATTGAAAAACAAATTATTAATTATCAATAAATTAATTAAAAGAAATTAGTTATATTGTCTTTATTTTTCTCAAATGTTAAAAGTTTTAAATTCAAATTCATCAATTGATTATATTCACTACATTATCTATTATCTTTTTTGTGCACTATTTTTCTAATTAAATATCAAAGTTATAACATAAAATAATGCTATATATTTATTTACCAAGTATTTTATTAATACCATGAAAACAATAAAAAAAATATAATTAATAAAGCCAACCATATTAACTACTTGAGAGATTTTGTGACAAAGAGAGTATTCAAATCACACAACAAATTGAAGTGAGAACTACCTCGCAATGTCCTTGTTTGACAATCAGCAGTTAGCGGTTAACGTTAGCGGATTATACAAGCGGATTTGACCAGGGAATTTATTTAATTATTAACATTGGGTAGAAAAAATGACCGTCAAATTATTAAATCAAATGAATGGTTCATATTGTTCAGGTTTTAATTTTTTTTTCTTTTAAGATTTTCTAATTTATCCTTAATTATATGATTATCCATTTAACTTTTCCGTTAATTCACCGTTAGTCTAATTCTAATATTAAAGTCTAATATAGAATTATAACTACACCATTAATCTAATTCTAATATTAAAATCTTAATAGAACTTAACCACAAATCCTAGTGTCGGAATCTCCTCAAACAATATTAGTATATATTTCATATTTTATGCCCTAATTTTTATTTGTTCTCCCTTATGTCCCGTATTTGGTTTCAACCATACTTATACAATTATTTTATTGACAATTATAATCAATATTGACTATATTATCTTGAATTTGTAAACTTAGAATTACCTATTTAACCTGCACGAGCTTAGCTCAATGGTTTAGTGGGTAGTATTTGGAAGAAGAGACCAAGGTTTGAACCTCGGCGGCGGCAATGCGTGAATTATGTCCAAAGTGGGCAGATTCCTTGTGCGTACCAGCATTTGGCCCTGTCTACTGAACCATTGAGTTACCGTGATTTACAACTTCCCACAATGCTCTGTCGGGTCGGAGTGTGGGGGGGCCCTTGGGGTTGGGGACTCAACCTTTGGGAGAAGAATTGCCTATTTAAATACGCAAATTCAACCTTCAATTATCTATGCATGAACAATTTCAATATAATCTTGCCTTAATATACTTTAAAGTACTTATTTTAAAAAAAGCATTGGACATTATCCCAATCGCGCAATGCGCGTAAAAAACTAGTATATTCATAAATGTGCATTTCAACTATCAGCTTACACTTATTGTGCACAAAAAAATTGCTCCCACACATGAGGGAGCCCATCGTACGTATCAGTTAGGTACATACTTTAAGGGTTAATTCCATCAGAGGTCCCTTGTCTTTGGTGGCAATTCCAAATTTAGTCCCAGACTATCATTTTTGTCATTTAACATCCCAGACTATTGTTTTTTTTGGACACTTTTAGTCATTTTCATGATTTTTTATATTTTTAGTAAGGCATTTTTATCTCTTCATATTTTTCTTTTGTTATTTTTTTTTTATTTCAACCGGTTTAATTGGTTTAAGACTTTACTAAAAATCGGTTGAAAAATATGGTTACTAAAAATCAGAAGTTACCTAAAGTTCTAAACCAATTAAACCGGTTGAAATCAGAAAATAATAAAAGAAAAATATGAATAGACAAAAATGTCCTTACTAAAAATAGAAAAAGTTATGAAAAGGACTAAAAGTGTCCAAAAAACAATAGTCTGGAATGTTAAATGGCAAAAACGATAATTTGGGACTAAATTTAAAATTGACACCAAAGACAAGGGACCTCTAGTGGAATTAACTCCATACTTTAATTTAAATTTAGCAATATTTGGTGTTTTATTTCTACATTTCTCTTTCTAGTCTTTAAGTAGCTAGTTATATCTGCATTATTGTCACTACGTTCAAATTTGGCAGGCGCAGAAGAGGATGGAAAGAAAAGCAGAGATGGAGATCCCATTGATTCATGAATCTGAAAATGATGAGAGAAGAAAATGTTGGGATGAGGTTTCCGGCGAAGTGAAGAAGCTGATGGTTTTAGCTGGCCCTTTGATTTCTGTAAATCTTCTGTTAACTTCCCTGCAGTTCATCTCACTCATGTTCGTTGGCAATCGCGGCGGCGAGCTGTCTCTCTCCGGTGCTTCCATGGCCGGAGCCTTCGCTTCAGTAACGGGTTTTAGTCTTATGGTCAGTCTCACCGTATCGAAAACTTCAACTGCAAAATATTTAATTTGTAACAATATTGTAAAAATCAACTTAGACGGGCCTCCTAGGCACCACTAGGTCATAAAAATTTCAGCCCTAGACTGTTTTCAGTTGGCTAATGATTTCAGTCCTAGTCGACTATGCGCCTTAAGTGCCTTTGGCACCTAAATCTAGGTACTCAATTGCGCTGAGAAGTTATTTTTGCTTGCTCAGCGGTTGCTCCTCTTCTATATTCCTTCAACCATGTACACAACTAATCGTTGACTAATTTGAGATTATAGCAGTCTAATAACTTACAGCCCTGTAAAAAAAATAGAGACTATATACTTAAATTACTAGTCGGCCGGCTAGACATCTTAAGCCTAGTAACTTATGCAACATGGATTCGTACTTTTTTTTTTGAAAGGACATTGATTTGTACTTGTTTTCAACTGCAATAATAAATTAATAATGAATTAACTATGGATCTCGTGTTTGTTAACCAAAACCAGAGAGGATTCTCAGGCGCTTTGGATACATTATGCGGTCAATCATACGGCGCCAAACAGTACCAAATGCTGGGAATCTTTATGCAGAGAGGAATGCTAGTGATGCTTCTAGTCTGCATTCCGGTGGCCGGCGTTTGGGCCTACACCGACCGGATCCTCAGTTTGTGCGGCCAAGATCCGGAGATATCTGACGCCGCCGGCGAGTACGCTCGGTTTCTGATACCCTGCATTTTCCCGTACGCAATCCAGCGGTGTCTCGTCTCATTTCTACAGGCCCAAAACAACGTTGTCCCCATGATGTTCACGGTCGGAATCGCCGCTCTGGTTCATGTACTCAGCTGTTGGGTTTTGGTGTTCAAATCTGGGATGGGCTTCACCGGTGCTGCAATGGCTAATGCCATATCTTCCTGGGTTAATGTAGTGTTGTTGGGTGTTTATGTGAGGGTTTCTCCTTCTTGTAAAGAAACATGGACAGGGTTTTCCAAGGATATGTTTCATGATATCATCAAGTTTCTTAGATTAGGGATTCCTTCCACTGCCATGCTCTGGTACGTACTTCTCTCCGCTCCAACTTTATCAATATTTTATACCGACAAATTATACCATGCACTAGGACTTACCTTACATTGGATCTTCATCCTAAATAACTGCAATTAACATATTCTATATAGTTTATGTGTCTGTAAATAAATTTAAAATACATAACATATTACAAACACATAGCATGTTAACTACTATGGATGACAACGGAGAGGGCGAGGTGGGGAGTATACTCCGCGTTCGCGTTCCTGTTTCTTAAACCCCCACCCCGATCCGACCCCGTCCCCGTTTCCTAAACCCCAACCCCAACCCCAACCCTGTCCCCGTCTCCATATATATATATCTGTGTATGTATGTATGTGTGTGTGCGTGTGTTTAATGCCACTATATGGTACTGTCGTGGCAATAATATATATATATATATATATATATATATATATATATATATATATATATATATATATATTATTCGAGGACGGGGTGGGGCAGAAGGGGTATTCCCGTCCTGGACAGGGAATTACATGCATTTCCTGTTTTCATTTTCGTCCCTCGAAAATTTTTTCCATCCCTAGTAACTACAGACACATGCATAATATTTTAACAACATATTATGTATCTTGCAATTAACATGCATATATTATATGTCTATAGTTAAATGTTATATGTCTTCAATTTATTCACCAACACATAAATTATTAATTGCATGTATTGAATATGTTAACGGTAGACACATCAATTTTAGATAAGAATCTGCAATACAAGATGAATTTTAATCCATGATATAATAATTGTCCCATGACCTAACCGGCCAATTTTTCTAAAGATGTTTGTGTGTATGTGGTAAGTGTAGCTTAGAGAATTGGTCATTCCAGCTGATGGTTTTGTTATGTGGGTTTCTTCCAAATCCCAAGCTGGAAACTTCAGTTCTTTCTATAACGTAAGTCAATTACTTTCATATACAATTTCAATTTTTTTTTTTTAATACTCTCTTTCCCGAATACGAGCACAACTTAATTGATGAGTTATTATACCATAGGTCAGGATCCATCTTACAAGGTGGATTCGTGTCTATGTAATAATTTGTCCAACTTGATTATATGGGGTGTATTTGATGCCTTCTATAAATTTTAAATTTTTAAAGATATTCAAACATGTAGGGAGGCTTTAGAAGTTGATAGTATTTGCTTCAATTTTTAGTGAGTTTTGTCTTTTAAGTTAAGGTGATAATCAATTCAAACAGTTTAATAGTGTTTAAAAATCTGTAGTATTTTATTCAGATTTTTAAAAGTCCTTAAAAGCTTATTAGTATTCAATAAGATATGGACTTTTATGAACCGAGCATTAATAGACTTTTTCTTTTAAATATAAATGGTTAAAATCCATCTTTAAAACATCAAACTTCTAAACTTTTCTATTAAACTTTTCAAATTTTTCCTTGCTCAAAATTCTACTGACTATTTTTTCCATCATTATCCTTTGAATCATCCCAACAAAGGACACTAATAGGGAAAGCCCTTCTCTTCGAGTTAGCTATTAAAAACACAATTAAGTATATATATATATATATATATATATATATATATATATATATATATATATATATATATATATATATATTTTTTTTTTTTTTTTTGTATTTTTTTTTTTTTTTTAAGGTCATGTATGGTTGGGATATAATTCTAGAGGGGAGGGGGAGGGAAGGATATATGGAGGGTTGAATAGACTTTCTTTAGTTTTGAAAAATAGCGTGAAAGTAAGCTTAAATTTTGAAACATATGATTGAACAATTTTATTAAAAAAAAAAAAAGGTTTTGATTCAAAGTGTGATGCGGAAGACATGAAGATTGCCTTTAAAGTTTGTAGCGTTTTATCAATAACAATCGTGAGTGTGTGTGAGTTAAGCTTTAAAAGATAATATAATGCTTTTAAAGTAAAAATAAGGGTTAGAGAAATAGATTGAACCACGAATTTTTATAGTGGTTTGTCTTTACCAAATTTGTGCTTTGTTCACAAGCGTGTTACAAATTTGTTGAGCTTTTCACCGAGTCTGTTACCCCTCCCCTTTCTATCTCTAGTAGAGATTATAACGAATGTTCAACCAAAGTTGTTTGGACGAACTAATTCAGATTACTTTTATAATGAAAATTTTGAAATTTTAAAATAATTAATACATTTAGAGTTACATTTGTGTCGAACCGTCTATTCGTGAGACGAATCGAGTCGGGGCGGGTGAATATGTAAATGTAAATGTAATAGATGCAAGTTGGAACCACATATAATTTTATTCCCCCATATATGCCAGCTCTCTTGTTGCAGTAGCTAACTGGTGGTGTTAATTGTTGTCAGACTAAATACATACGCCATCGTTTATACGCTGCCTCTGGGACTTGGTGGCGCTATAAGGTAACTTTCAGTCTTTACCTGCCACTTAATAAGTAGCATATTGATTTAGATCTTGCCATTTGAGTACAACCATCTACAAGATATATATTCAGGAGCGAATCTAGAAATCTTCATCCATGATTAAAAACAAGTGAAATATTTTGAAGTGAAATATTTTGAAAAAAAATACTTAGAGGCTGAATCACATAAATATTGTTAATTAGGTATAAAAATTAAAATATATCAAAATGGGATTAAAAAATTTTTCAAAACAAGATGATATGAAATATAATTTTTTGAAATAAAGATATGAAATATAATTAATTAGATAAAATAATTTGAATAGAAACTATATTATAAAACATTCATAGCATTAATATTAAAAAATAGAAAAAAAAAACACAATGTTACAAATAAAAATTCCACAAAATATGAAATATAATTAATTAGATAAAATAGTTTGAATAGAAAACATATTATAAATCACTAATATCACTATTTATATTAAAAACACAATGTTACAAATAAAAAATTCAATTAGAATTAATCTGAATATAAATTCATGCAGTAAGATTTGAACCCCTAACATTTAAGAAAAAAAATCAAATATCTTACCATCTAAGGTAACTACTCATTCTTTTATTAAATTTATGTAAATTTAATATTTTATAAATTAACTATATATATACAAGGGGCATATACATACAATATATAAAAATGGGATGTGGGTGGAGAGTGGGGGCAACTGCACCCATTGTGGCTCCGCCACTATATACTATAGGTGGTTATATCTGATAATCAATCAACACTTGATGATGGTTATACCCAATACTTGATTAACACCTTAAAAGAGTTAATTCCTAAAATGTCTATTGACTATCAATTCATCATTTATCAATTGAGTTAATACCCAATTTGGTCCCTCGACTATTATGATAGTCCTTAACTATATAATTTTTACCTAAAATAATGGTCCCTCGACTATTAAGATTTTACCACTTTGGTCCTCGACTACCAAAGTTGTTCAATTTAGTTCCCAACTATGAAAATGTTAACCTAAAATGTAAGATTAGTGTGGATTTGAGGATCTTTTTTGGAGAGTCGATGACCGAATTAAAGTGGTGAAATCCTAATAGTCGAGAGATCATTTTGGGTAAAAATTGCATAGTTATGGACTAAATTGAGCAACTTTAATTTGGTAGTCGAGGACCAAAGTGATAAAATTTGAATAGTCGATGGACCAAATTGGGTATTAACTCTTTATCAATTTTTATATTCGACTTTTAATTACAAATGATCTCTTATCTATTGACATTTATCAATTTTTATCTTCGACTTTCAATTAGACCAGAAATGATCTCTTAACTATTGATTATATTACAAATTTGGTCCTTCAGTTAAATATTAATTTAATAAACATTAAATTTAATGGTAAGAACAAAAAAATTTGGGTCTTTGCACCCACTAATGATGAACTTTGCCCAACTCAACAATAAGTTAATTTTTACATTATTACCCTTAAGCTTAATGTTTACTAAGGCTCTGTTTGGCAAACCTAGCAGAAAAGCTATAAGCTAGGAGCTGAAAGCTTAAAAGGAGCTGAAAGCTGAAAAGCTATAAGCTCGGAGCTGAAAACTGAAGAGCTGTTAAGCTAGCTGTTATGATTGAAAGTGTTTGATAAAATTAGCTTTTTGATAAGCTAATAAATGTAAAAAGACTAAAAAGGTAATCTTCATAAAATTTATATTAGTTTGTTTACATATTAAAATTTAACATTTTGTCTTTAAAAAAAATTAACATTTTGAAATAAAACTATTAGCATAATCATGATCTAGCATCTCATAATAAAGTAGCAATATTGTTGCAAATCTCATAATAATAATAATAATAATAATAATAATAACAATAACAATAACAATAACAATAACAATAACAATAACAATAACAATAACAATAACAATAACAATAACAATAACAATAACAATAATAATAATAATAATAATAATAATAATAATAATAATAATAATAATAATCATAATCATATCCTATCCTATATATAATAAAGCTATATGGTCTTGTGAAAATTGAATGTTGCATTTAATTTTCACAAGACCATATGATTTTAAGATGTGAAAGTCTTGTGAAAATTAAATGGGCTTTAAGATGTGAAAATTACTTTAAAATGTGAAAATTAAATGCACCATTTAATTTTCACATCTTAAAGCCATATGGCTTTAAGAAGCATGCATGCAACCCCAAAGTCCATAATTTTGAAATTAATATATAACATAGCTATGTGGCTTAATATTTAAGATTGTTGATGTGCATATTGAGGACTACGAAGACAAAGATGCGTTATTTGTGGATTCATCGGATACTATCCAACAACACTCTCCAACTTAATTGACGTGAAGTAGGCTTAGTAACATTAGGATTACATTCTCGAATTATTAGTTCTCATCTTTTATTGATTACACACTTAATTCGATAGTATTCGGAAGAAAAAAATCAATGTTCTAACTAAGATTGTGATTTTGGTCTTTAAAGGTCAATTGTATGTTGCTACATCTAGAATTAGAAATCTCAAAGGTCTAAAAATTTTGATCCGTGGTGACTCTAAAATTGTAATTCAATTACTATTGTAGTTTACTAAGTTTTTAAAATTTTATAATATTAAATACTATGTACTAAATTTTTAATATAGCTTAAGATTTGTAGTAATCACCCACCTTAAATATTATTTTAATTGTAAATATATTTATGTTCATAATGTTATCATAGGAATTCACACATAATAATTATTAAATAACAAAAATTTTATATATGAATAAACCTCATATAGTGTATATTTTTATAATATATTTTCCGTGCATCGCACGGGACAAATACTAGTAATAATAATAATAATAATAATAATAATAATAATAATAATAAAAATAATAATAATAATAATAATAATAATAATAACTGCGGTGAAAGTTGCGGATAAAGGAGAAGAGAAAAGGGTTTTAATTAGAAAGGGTAAATTATGTCATTTCTTTAAAATAATAAGGATACAGATGGAAAAAAAGTTAGGAAGCTAGGAGCTTATTTTGAAACGCTACCTAAAGTAGCGTTCAAAAATACGCTCTTATTTTAAGCTAGGAGCTTATTTTGGAAAAATTACCAAACAGAGCTTATAGCTTATTAGTAGCTTAAAATAAGCTATAAGCTCTTAAATAAGTTCTGCCAAACAGAGCCTAAATAGATATATATTTAACTAAATGACCAAATCTGAAACAAAATAAATAATCAATGGACCATTTATGATCACACTGAAAGTAGATGATGAAAATTTGTAGATGTCAATACACAATAAACCATTTATGATTTAATTGAAAGAGAACAATAGTTAATATGTCAACTAGGCAGTCTAGTCAGTCCCTCAGCCGCCTCGCGCTTGACCTTAATTAATTCTTTGATTGAAAGTCAAAGATAAAAATTGATAAATAATATTAATAGTCAATTGGCTTTTCCTAAAATTAACTCCAATCAATCCCTTACAAATTAAAATTTGTATAGTTACTTAATATGATTTTGGTTAGTACAGTGTACGGGTGTCAAATGAAGTGGGTGGTGGGAGGCCAAATGCAGCGTGGGTGGCGGTGCGTACTGCGTTAGGGTGCGCGGCAACAGAAGGGATTTTAGTAGGCATAGCAATGCTTTCACTGCACAAAGTATGGGGGTATGTTTACACCACTGAGGAAGAAGTTGTAAACTATGCTGGCCAGATGCTACTCTTGCTCTCTGCCTCTCACTTCCTTGATGGCCTTCTATGTATTCTTTCAGGTATGTTTATGTATATTACACCATCTTAATTTGATTTTTCGTGTTTAATAGCACTTTTAAGAACTAATGTCATTTGAGATCCTCCGGATATAATGATTTTGCAATGTTTAGTCTTAAACTTTTAAGTTGATGATCACCTGTGGCTATTCAACCTTTAAATATTAACCAATCGTGATCTTTTAACTTTCAAATTTTAACCAATCATGGTCCTTCTGAGAGGACCACAGTTGGTTAAAATATGAAAGTTAAAGGACCACAGGTGGTTAACTTGAGAGTTGAAAGGCCTCAGTTAGTTAAAATTTGAAAGTTGAAAGATCAAGAATGGTTAATTTGAAAGTTTAGTTGTAAACATGACAGAACTACTATAGAATAACAATCGTTATATTATATTATTATGGATAGGGATGAATCATAAGCATTATAGACCATGGTCTAGATTATGTACATTTAGTTATTATGTATATTTAATTAACAGTTATGTACATTTAGTTATAACCAAATGCACATAATATGTTAACTGTTCGTATATAATACGAATTAGAAATCACAATATGCATGATGGACCCTGGTCGACGATATAATTTACATATAGAATAATTTGAAATGATATTTGCGTGCATTTGCATGATAGTGAGTGACCAAAACTAACGGAACCAAAATGCTTTTGATCCAAATATTAAAAGTTAGTTATTGAAAAAGAAATTAAATTGCAGTTTGTATGAAACCAAGCAAGTGAATATATATGTATAAAACTTGTGTGGATATGAATGTAATTTCAGGCACAGCAAGAGGATGTGGGTGGCAAAATATTGGGGCAATAGTCAACTTGGGAGCCTATTATTTGCTAGGGATACCTGCTGGAATACTCTTAGCTTTTGTCTATCATGTTGGAGGCATGGTATCAAAATATATATCCCAATTTTTATTTTTTATTTTTACTTTGCACACATTTACTATGTTAGCTAGCATGCAATGCAGCTAGCATGGGTTTAGCTCATTGATTTAGTAGACAATATTTGAGAAAGGTTTAAACCTCAGCAGCAGCAATGTGAGGATTACGATCAAAGTAGGCAGATCCCTTGTGTGCACCGACATTTGACTCTATCTACTGAGTCATTGAGTCATCGTGATTTACATCATCCCAAATGCTCTGTCAAATCGGGTGTAGGGGGCCTTTGAAGTTGGGGATCGGCAGTTATATTACGGACTCGGGTCCACCTTGCAATGTGCACCTAGGTCCAAAATACAAAATTTACATACGGAATGTTCACAATTTACATAATGAATGTTCATAATTTGAACTGTGAATATTTAGTATGTAAATTGTGAACATCCAGTATGTAAATTGTGTATTTTTGGACCTGGGTCCACCTTGCAAGGTGGACCTAAATTCACGAAATAATTTGTCTTTGGGGATTCAACCTTTTGGGATAAGCTAGCATGCAATGGAAGCCATTAATAGAGGTCAATTTACTTGCGTAGAAGATGAAGAGAAAGAAAGAAAAAAGAGGGCCATGAGTTAGTTACAGAGAGAGTTAGAGATCATTTTGGGTACATGTAGGTTGTTAGAGTGACTTACAGAGAGAAGTCCTTCCTCCATTATCTTTTAAATTTGATCCTTATATAGCTAACTAGTAATATAATAAACGTTCAATAAGAAAAAAGTGATTAAATTATAAAGAGAAAATGATAATAGAAATAATCAAACATTATGAACTGTACAAATAAGAAAATCTAAAATTGGAAATGATGATGAGTTTAGGTTAGCACTGGGTGCTAGTTGACTAGACTTTTATATGTTTAAAAAAAAAAAAAAAGATTTAGGGTTTGTGACTTTAAGTGTGAACTCGAGTATGAAGGGTTAGTCATAGGATAAAACAAAGATCAGAGTAAAGTAAAGTATTAAAGAGGGAGAGAAATATTTATGATGGTTTCAAAAACTTTTCTACTCCACACTTCTACTTATAACTACAAGGAAGATTTCGCATGCACTGATATTTGCTTCTACATATGACAATCCTTAGATTACTATTCGATCAATCTCTAGCTAAGGATCAGCCACAAAGTCGCCTTGCTAAGATAATTTTCCAACTCCTTAGCTTTCAGCAAAGAAATATGGTTGAGTTTAAGGTTGGACTTTTAGAATCAGGATGATTCTTTTAGCTTATTAGAATACTTGATAAAGCTTTGAATGATCAATCAGCTAGTAACTCTCTCTTTTTCAATAACTTCTTCTAAACGGGGGTTCTCCTTTTATAGACAAGGAAGGTTCAGTGCCAATTTAAAATTCAAATTTACCATTTGTCGCTCAAAAGCTATCACTAATACAAATTCTCTACACCTTTCTCATTAAATGAGGCCTATTTATACAAGGGTAGTTACTGTACTCTCTTTTAAGAGTTGACTTTAATTTGGGGGTCATCATTAACCCTAATACATTATCATAACTTACAAGTAATCATGCCCTAATTCTAGTTGATTGATCTTCCTAAGGGTTATCTATCCCTAGCTATCGCCCATCGTGGTCACTTATGTTGCCCTTTTGTACAGGTTACCATTGTCTAAGTATGGACCGATGTATCTGGTTCTTCCCTGGCCTAGGAATTCTTCCTTAGCCTTCTCTTATTTTCTAATTTAGGTTCAACCATGTTGGGACAGCCTTATTTTCATTACTTCATCACTAGTAACTCACTTTCTTGTACTATGAGAAGGCATTACTAGCAAGTAACAAGTGATACCTAGAAAATTAGGGGGTGTATTCAATCATGAATTTCATAGAGTTTTAAAGACTTTTATGAACTTTAAAAGTTTGGAGGTATTCAATTCAAACTTTTAGAGAGTCTTTAAAAGTTAGGCGGTATTCGATCAAGATTTTTAAAGAGTCTTTAAAAGTCGTGTGGTATTCAATTAAGACTTTTAAAGAGTCTTTAAAAGTCATGTGGTATTTAAAAAGTTATGAACTTTTGTAGACTTTTTAATTTTAAGACTTTTGTTGACTTTTCCTTCTCAAATATAAATAGTTGAAATTCAACCCTCAACCCCAAGATTTCAAATTTTCTTTCTAACAACTTTGAATGTGTTCTCTCTCTATTTAAACTCTATTTTTTCCCCTATTTAAACTCTATAAACCTATCTAAATTCAATAAAATTATTTTTTCTTCATTATCCTATATTTTCGTCATACCTAAACTCTACCTATTTTTTTCTCTCTCCTAAACTTTAAAATCTTCATCTAAAAATTCGAAATAATATTATTTTTGCTTCATTATTGCTTGTTTATATTGGTTTTTATTTTTTTCTATGAATTTTTTTATCCCTAACTATCTCTAATTCTCCCTAAATACATGAACAAAGCAAATTTTTCATCGTCAAATTTTAATATATGTTTCATAATATTCATATAAATACTTATATATTTTTTGATTTTTATTATTTTTATGTTTATATTCGTAATATATATTTTTCTTTTTAACAACAGGCTACGTATAGCGAATTAATGTTTTGTAAGAAAATTGTAAATGATAAGAATAAAAATCATTGAAAGTTTGTAAGGATGTATTCAATTTAGAATTTCAATGACTTTTGTAGACTTTTTAAAATAAAAAGTTGATAAAAGTCTATGAATGTTTTTTGTATAGACTTTTAGAGAGTCTTATAAAGTTTTAAAAAGTTTTGAACGACTCTATGAAAGTCAATCAAAGTTTATTAAAATCTATAATTTTAAAAGTCTTTAAAACTCTACAAAAGTTATGATTGAATACACCCCTTTAAAGTTATGCTGAAATGTTAACATATCATAGTTTAAAATGCACATAAAAAAATACCCCAACTTCAAATGAGACTTAATTGAATCTAATGTAAAATCCATTACCATGGACTAATATATAATCTTCTGATAAATTTAGATTGGCCCATTTTTGTTTTGATCAGACGTTATGCCATGGAACCGTGTTCACCATTCATGGTGAACACGGTTCCAACGGTGATAGTGCATCGTTATCTTTTTTTTTTCTTTTTTTTTTTTTTTTTAATTAATTACGTGACTGCCTACATATTCACTTTGGAACCATGCCTACACATTCACTTTGGAACCATGAGATTATGAATTTTCTGTTATGAGATTATGAATTTTCTGTTATGCGATTATGAATTTTCTGTTATGAGATTATGAATTTTCATTACATTCATAATTTCGGAGTTTCGGACATTCATAAATTATGAATTCATGCATGCACATTCACTTTGGAACCATGCCTACATATTCCCGTCCGAAATCACGGACATTCATAAATTATGAATCCATGCCTGCACATTCACTTTGGAACCATGCCTACACATTCACTTTGGAACCATGAGATTATGAATTTTCTGTTATAAGATTATGAATTTTCTGTTATGAGATTATGAATTTTCAGTTGTGAGATTATGAATTTTCTGTTATGCGATTATGAATTTTCTGTTATGAGATTATGAATTTTCATAAAATTCATAATCTCATAACAGAAAATTCATAATTTGATCAGTAACGCGCCGTTAACTCCACATCCGCGATTTTTTTTTTTTTTGCCTAAAAACGACGTCGTTTTGACTTGTGTTCACCATTCTCGGTGAACACGATTCCACGGCATAATTTGCGTGTTTTGATAGAAAAAAAAAAAAAAAAAAAAAGCTAAGCTACTTACTCTTTTCATCAATTTGGTTTAGGGACTTTGGTTGGGGATCACAATAGCCCTCTTCGTACAAGCAGTACTGTTCTTTATAATTACTTTGCGAACAAACTGGGAAAATGAGGTAAAATATCAAACCACTTTTCTATATATCCCTTTCCATTTTCACTTTGGTAAGTGGTAACCAATAATTTTCTATATATATTGATCGTCTGATGGATAAAAGTTGGTTCTGAATGTTAATATATTGCAGGCAAAGAAGGCTTTTGATAGAGTACACAACACCATGCATGACCTTGCAGTTGCATGAGGATTGAGGAATATTTTGTAGACAAATATTGTGTTGTTGGAACAAATAAATTACAGATCATGCACTGATTACATAGATGTGATTAACGGCCTCCCTAAAATAACCTATGAGTTTCGCTTGGAATTTTTAGCATAAACTGGTATAGAAAGTAGTTATTTTGTGTTACGAATATATGTGGATCCACTTTCAATTTGAATCGGGTCAAAGTGAATTTGAGTTCTTGGTAGTAAGATAAAGAAATTGATATATTGTACACTCAAAATAGATTATGGGTGAATGAAAAATTGATTCTTAAAGTAGACCTATTTGAATTGGAAATGAACGTGGAAAGACATTATACAAGCACTTGTCCCACATTGGTAAACACTATATATACAAAAGCCTTTTTTAGATTCATATTGAATTGTATGGCATAGAGGTTTTTTGTCGTGTGTATAAGATGCAAATCATAAAACAAGGTGTTGGGCAGATTATCTTTGTTTTCTCTCTTCCTCACTCAAAACCGTTTTCTTCTCAAATTTCTACAAAACACTTCCTTAAAAATACGAAGTGCTCACCTTGTGTTCAACTAGTTTGCTGGGTTTTTCTTTGTTTTCTCTCTTCCTCTCTCCAAACCGTTTCCTTCTCAAATTTCTACAAAACACTTCCGTAAAAATACGAAGTGCTCACTTTGTGTTCAACTAGTTTGCTGGGTTTTTCGTTTGAGTTCTCAAACGTCAAATCGTGATTCGTTTTATTATGAGAGACTGACGATACAATGCTCCTAGCACCGTCGGGAGATAGCGAATAGGTTTTAAGAAAAATGTGAGTACACACAACTCGAATTTCTCTTTCTTCTCGTTGGGTTTAAACCTTAGGTTTGAAAACCCTCTTCTTGTTATTTATACATTTTATATAAATACTTTTTGGTTCCATACCAAATGTTGGTTGGAATTAATTTTCTAAAAATTAAATTTCAATTTTAGTGTGTGTGTATACATACATATATACATATATACATACATACATATATACATATATACATACATATATATATAGGAAAAAGTTCAAAGGCGGCGATGTCCTTAGGTGCGGCGAAATTTTAGAATACACCAACAGTGTTAACAACATGCACCAACACTGTAAGGGAAACACACCACAATGAAATGCAAAAAAAAAAAAAAAAAAAAAAAAAAAAAAAAAAAAAAAAAAACACCAAAAAATACACAACAGACCCAAAAAAAATACACCATATAACTCACCACACTCCAATGGTGTATTTCCGAACACTGTATGGTGTTTTTACTCACACCTAATCATGTGTTTTTGGTGATGCGTACCTAATTTGTGTGTGTTTTTGTGGTGCATTTTTCAAACGTTGATGTTGTATATTTGTTGAATTATTGGTGACGCCACACCGCTGCACCTAAGGACATCGCCGCACTTGAACCTTACTCTCTCTCTCTCTCTCTCTCTCTCTCTCTCTATATATATATATATATATATATATATATATATATATATATATATATATATATATATATATATATATATATGGGTGATCACATGTGGCCATGTTGTTAGGTGTGGTCATTGGTCAATTATAGGCCATTAGATTAGATATCCAATGAATCATATTAATCAAGATTTTTCCAGTATTTTCGCGCACATTCTCCTACCCAGCGAACTGCAAGGGTAAACTCGTCATAAAACACCGGAATACGGAAAATAACATTGTTGTGTGTTTTATTACACTATTGGTGCATGTTGTCAACACTGTTGGTGTATTCTGGAACCCGGCCGCTATAAATGGTCACTGTAATTACCATAACACGGGAATACACCATTGGTGTGTTTCACTGTGGTGTATTTTATTACACTATTGGTGTATGTTGTCAACACTGTTGGTGTATTCTGGAACCCGCCCGCTATAAATGACCATTGTAATTACCATAACACCCCCACTTACCAAAACACGCAAAGATCCTCAGAATTACCACCGCCATTAGATTAAACTGATTCAACGACACAGATACGACCACACGATCCCCAACCACACCTAATGACATGACCACATATGAGCGCTTTTCTATATATATATATATATATATATATATATATATATATATATATATATATATATATATATATATATATATATATATATTCACTTTCGAAAGAAAATAAGTTGGACTTAACTAATAATTTTCTTCAGGGCCGATTTTAAATTTGTGTGGCCCTGTTCTTATAAATAAATGAGATCCTCCCAAAAAGCAATCTTTAAAATTAATACCGTATTTTTTCTAATAATAATAATAATAATAACAATAATAATAATAATAATAATAATAATAATAATAGGAAGGTGGTAAAATGTTGTTGTGGGCAAAGCAAAAGGATTAAAAAAATTAAAGATATGCACAAAGCTGGAATGATTCAAATCTTTAATCTCCAAGATGAAACACAATAAACACATGTTTTCTACTATTCCTCTATTGAGTCATTTGAGATTAATTGCATTTTTTTTTGTTTTAATTTTTTAACTAGCTAGGTAAAAATTAAATATTGTGCCCTCTAAAATTTGAGGCCCTGTGCTGTTGGGTTGCTTACACAGCCCAAAATCCGACCCTGATTTTCTTTTAACGATAGAGTTTTGATTGGGGTTCTCTATTCAAGAGGGCAATTTATATCCTACATCACGGCGCGCGTTACACTGTGCGCCCAGATGCAAAACGACGTCGTTTCAGATATTTTTTTTTTTAAAATTTCGCTACCTAGAGTTTGGCGGTTAATTTTCCTTAAAAAAAAAAACCTCATGTTCAAAAATGTATATAATGTTATACATGAATGTACATAATTATATGCGTGAATGTACATAATTGTATAACAAAATATACATACTGTTTTTTAAAAGATAATACACATAATCTAACATAATACATAATAAACATAAACTTTTAACATAATACACATAAACTCTTAACATAATACACAAAAATTTCCTGATTCGGATGTACATAATTGTATAAAAAGAATGTACATAATTGTATAAAAAATGTACATAATTGTATGAACAAATATACATAATTGTATGAACAAATATACATAATCACAGCAACTTCCTACCGCGTCTCCCAAAACGGTGTCGTTTTGGGAGGCGCGCGGCGCACAGTGCTATGCGCGCCGTGGTGTAGGGTATAATGATTGATTCAAGAGCGTATGTTGTGCAACCGTGTGCACCATGCAAGGTGCACATGGAATTGGATTCATAATTTCTAAACTGTAGATTCATAATTTCTAAACTGTATAGTTATCAAATTATGAACATATAGTTTAGTGATTTGTGAATACAGAGTTCAACAATTGTGAATATGAACATTAAAAATTATGAACATAGAGTTTTGTAATTGCGTATATAGAGTTCAATAATTATGAATCTATAGTATAGAAATTATGAATCCAATTCCGTATGCACCATGCACATAATTTGCCCTCTATTCATCATTGGTCTCAGGACCAACCGTTCTCTTACTGGCACCATGACATCCGACCAATCTAAGACCAACTTTTTTTTAGGTCAAACAGTCAACCTCTCGTTCTTGATAACCTCATCAGCTCACATTGTTAGATTTTTACAAACAGACCTCTATGGTGAGTTCACTTCAAACTTGTTTCTAGTCTCTTTCATCCGGTGAGTTTGGTTTGTGGGTATCACATTGTTAGGAACATTTGTAATTTTGAGTTTGGTTTGTGGTATTACATTATTAGAAACATTTGTAATTTAAATTTTGATGATATCAAAGTTAGGAATCTTACGACATGGCAATTAAGATTGCAGGACAAGCGATAGATATATTCTAAACAGATGACTAGATGAGAAGCACCTTTTATGAAATGAGGAGAAATGCCTCTTTTAAACTCAAAGTTGTGGGTTTAACCAACCAATTTCATCTCATAGAGGCAATATAACAAACAAAATAGATCAAGTCACACTTATATGATACCGATCAAATATATGATAGTTGTTTGTTACTTATGATAGAAATCATAATACTTATTACAAAAATTTAATACTAATTTAAAATAAATAAATTGTTACTTATAATAGATATATATTGTAATATTTATATGTGAAATTATGATACTATTTAGAATAAAATGATTATTACTAAAGATAAATATTTTAATACTTATAATTGAAATTACGATACTCAGAAAGTGCAATTTTAATGTAAATATTTTAATACTTAGCTTGTATATTTTGCAATACTTATAACTGAAATTATGATACTTACAAAATGTAATTCTAATGTAAATATCATAATACTTATATGTGAAGAAATAATATTACTTATAAAAGAAATTATAATATTTATTGTAGAAATTTAAATACTACTTTGAATTAAAAATAAATCGTTACTTATGATATTGTAATGCTCATATGTGAAATTGTGACACTATTTAAGGTAAAAATTGATTGTTATTAATGATAAATATTGTAATACTTATAACTAAAATTGTGATACTTACAAAATGTACCTTTATTAAGCATCTTACTTGCTAGTTTGGCTATCACCCGACCCGACCCATCTCACGAATCACACAAGTTTTTTGCAAACAAAATATGGTATCAACCGAACAAAAAGAGCCATATTATAAAGAGCCAAAGAAATTGAAAGAAAAACAGATAATTTCAATCGTGTATATGTACAACCCATATAAAGTGCTCTAGTAGGAATTGTACCCAATAACGAAGTCCCAAATCCTCTATATAACCCGGGAATGCCCTCATGCCACAGCGTAGCACAGAGAACACATTTGTGATATGTGTTGTAAAAGTTTCAAACCTAGGCCGCTTTTAGTTGACTGGCCGACTAATCAGTCGACTAGGCACTAACTCTGCTTAGTTAGTGCCCAACTAGGCTGAGTCGACGCCCAACTCGGCGGAGTGGTATTTTTTGCCTATTCGGTTGCTTCTTTTCTATAATTTAACAACTCACAGCCGTGAGTGAAAAAAGTGGCAACAATCTACTCGAATTACTAGACCGCCTAGGA